GAATTCATCAGTGCACACCCTCAAAAAGTGTTTTTCAGACCTTTCAAATGTACTCAAGACCATACTAAAGTCTCATCCCACAAGCCACAGAAGATCCTATTTTTGTTTACAGTTGTTGAGATCTTTCCTAAGTGGGCTTGTCTCCCATCATTCCTCTCTGCTATAGGTCCCATTGAACACCCATTTTCTTCCACTTCTACAGTCTGCAAACAGACATGATAAAGAATGCTCCCCTAGCATTACCTCCTTTCATTTGCGATATCCATCCTTACACCGAACTATAACCCCTCCAGATGGTCCTCTAGCTGGTAAGGCTTTCCACCGTACCTCTTTTGTCTTCCATAAGCTCCAAAATCCAGTTGGATATGGAAATTATTTTCATTTCCTGCAAATAAATCACGTATGGACATGGAATCAAGTGCAGTTTCTCTTATTATTGTTGTTATTTCCATTTAATATCTTCGTTCTTGTACTTTATTAGTTTTGTGTATTTTCGTTTATGCTGCCTTCCATATTGTAGGTAAAAACAAATTTACATTCTTGCTAATTGAATATCGTTCTATGTGATCTGATTTGTTCATTCTATTTTATAAAGCAACCAAGAAGATCAATTTTAAGCTCAGGGACAGATGTGGAGGTGAAACTCGAATTAGAAAGACTGTGTGATGTTTGGTTTCCCGCACTCATAATTAAAGAGAACGAGGATGCTACTTACTTGGTGAAGTATCAGAACTCAAGGAATGGCGAAAGAGTTGAGGCTAAAATTACTGTAGATTCTCTTCATGTCAGACCAACCCCTCCTCACTATGTTGATAGAAATTATGAGCTGCTGGAAAGTGTGGATACAGTCTGTGGTTTTGGATGGCGAGCTGGGGTAATCACCAAAGTTCTCTCTGATAAGAGGTATACTGTGTTTTTCAAGCATGGAAGTGAGGATAGGGAATTTAGTCACTCAGATTTAAGGCCTCATTTGGAATGGACTGATGGCAAGTGGGTTAGCAATTCCAAGGTACTGTCTTTTCTTTTGTTGTTATCCTATTTTTCCCTGTTCATTACCATTTCTTGTGTACTCTAGTTGTGGTTGGTTTTCTTTCTTGGCCCTTTTACAAGAAGGATAATACTTGCCTGGAGTAAGCGAGTAGAATTTGGCAATCTTTTCTTTTTCATTGGGCATGTGGCGCATGATTCTATTTGTTAAGTTCTCAATGCAGTTTAGAAGGGCAACGAACCTGTAACCTTGTAGGGCTGGGTTCAACTCTGGTCAAGCGTTTTCATTTTGGCTGAAGATGCTGCTTTATGGAACATCAGCCAGATTTAATTTGCAATTAGCATAGTGATTTGTGGCATAGTCTATTGTCATGATTTGTTTCGTACAACTTAAATTAGGAGCGGAGCAATTAAATCTTTTAGTGGCTTGTTCAAGCACATGCTTAAATACATTGATCTCCCAATGTAGTCCTCATTTGTGCAGAGATCTTGTCATTAAGGTTTTCTTGATATTTTTCACTTTTCATTGGTGACCAAATAAATAAGTTTACAAGTAATGGCTGTTAGTAATGAGATTGCTATAAAGTGAAATATTTCTCATGTACCCTGTTTTTTCTGTGGGTTTGAACTATACCCTGGGAAATTTGTTTCAGGAAGTCCTGATAGCTCCAAGTGATCAAAAGCAAATGGGGTATCTCAATGATCGTTTGAATAATGCATACAATCCTATACAACTTGGAAGTCCATGTGGTGCAGAGGATAACACTGTAGAGAAGACTCCTTGCTCCTCAACCATAAGAAATAAGTTGATGGGTAAGTGGATGGAGCTGTCTAGTCCTTGCCATGGAAATGAGGCGTTGCCATCACAGAAGAAGACGATGAAGCTGACAGCTTATGATGAAAATGGTCACAATTCATGCTCTCCCAATCAGTTAAACGAAGGATATGTTGCGGAGGCTCCATTATCTGTAACGACGACTAAGTCAATGAACACTCCAAAGAGAACATCTAGCAAACAAGTACTTCGTGGTTTTGCCACCATAAGGACAGCGAATCCAGGAGTTAGAAGCTCAAGAAAATCCATGATCACTAATCAACCATCTGCTAAGAGTGAAAGCTCATATGTGGTTATGACAGTTGTGAGTTAGATTTCTCTATTCAATCCTTTGGTAACTTATTTCTTTGTACATGTTTGATGGGCATAATTCCCATTGTCTTCTATACCCCCAGCTTTTTATAGCTTCACATATTAATCAAGAGAAACACATTTTGTTCTTATGATAGGTCAATCACTTGAGAAGTGACTGTATTTGTTATAGTTCAATCACTTAAGAAGTGACTGAATTTGTCACCTTCTCCTGAAAGGCATAGCTTCAAATGTCTGATTGACGAATCCCCTGGATCTTCCTTTAGGTCAGGGTGCATGTTATGTTGGTATTTTTCAGATAATCATGACATTTAAAAGCACTCATGCCAATTTGTTTGTCATGGGAGCTGATACAACCTAGTGTATGGTTTCAAGAGTTAGCAACCTTTGTTTGAGCTGGGATACTCAATGAACATCATTTGATTTGTTACAATCACAACTAATACATGCTTTATCTATCAACGTGACCATTCTAATTTGGTAATGATGATAGATCATTGAAACTTTATTTTATTTCTCCGAGGAGTCAATTTACCTTATTATTATGCTTTTTCTATAGAATTCTTGACTTCAGAATTCTTCATTCATGCAGAAGGCAAAGCGACAAAAAGCTGGAGGATTAGGCTGTCGAACAGTAAATATTGCCGGGAGAGGAAGTCTCTCACAATCATTAATCAACTCACCAGATCCAGCGATAGGTATAAATAGTTATCAATATGAAATGCATTCATCAGAACTTTGTCTAAACCACATTTTTGCATCATTATTTCAGGCAAGGAGGGCAGAGCTGGAATTGAAGCTGCCGACAAAATTAGTGGAGAGTTTAAAGTGGAAGCTGATATACCTGTCATTATAGGTCTAAAAGCCACTGATTGTCTACTGGCTGGAAAGCCTAGTGAAATCCCTTCTAAGGATTTGCCAAGGTTAACTGACCAAGACTTACACAGTGCAGTGGGGGAAAAGAGCATGGTAATTTCTTGGCTTGTTAATATCATTATGATAACATCAACCAAATCTAAGCAGATTTCAGCTAATCAACTCCATAAAAGCTTTCATGGTATTTGTCCTTGCTGAGTAATTGTAATTTCTGATTTGATAATTTAAACTATTTTAGTAGGGAAATGCTGTTAGCTTATGTTTAGTCTTGGGGGGATTTGGTAATATTGGTGTAAGAATAATTACCTTGTTGAGTAAGCACTTATCCCTTTTTTTTTACGGCTGTGGGTTGAGAACATGGCATATGTTTCCTATTAAAAAAAGATTAGTGTATTGACTATCTTCATTCTTTCTTTATCCTTCGTGTACTGCATATGCTTGGGGTTTATTGAACAGTACCAGAATATTGCTTAAAAAAAATTAAAAATTGAAGAACATTATAAAATGATGGTAGTGCTTTTTTTGGGTAAAAACTACAATCAATAATGGTGTTTATTTGGCATCTAAATGATATTTATCCCATCTGTTGTCGCAATACAATAATTAAATAATAGTATTTGACAACATTTCTTTTTTCGGAATAGTGTTTGACACTATTTCTTGATTACAATTAAGTACTGGAAGATATTCAGATTGTCAGGAGAACTTCCTAGTTATGCTTCTAGCCTAGCTAGCCTCTATCTAGAGTTTTACACATGGTATCAAGAGGCTTCTCCATGAGTTTTTGGTTCCCTATCTCTCTGGTAATAACATTGGTGTTTGCTCCAATTTCATTTAGGAAATTAAGGAAGAGAAACCTGGAGGAAGCAGTCAAAGAAGAAAGAGGGGAAGGCCACGGAAATTAGTAATTGCAAGGCCAGATGCTCCGGAATATGGTATGTACAAGTCTGAGCTAGATCCATCAGCTAGATATATAGTTTTGGAGACCAAAACCTACATTATGCTTTGTAGGTAAGGAATACAAAGGGCCTGGAAGCGCAGCTGCTGAAATTGTTGTAAAAGATCGTATAACTAATGAAGTTGAATTGCCCAGAGCGACAGGGGTGGAGCCTGCAGGTAACATAGGATTGCAACTTCCTGAAATTTGTTTACAGTTTTCTCACGTGGAAGATCAAAATCTTGCAATTGTTTGATAAGCTTTTGATTTATCTTGCAAGACCCAGGCACATATAACATCATTAGGATGCCTCTTTAAAAAAGAACTTCCAAATGAAACAACTTTGAGAGTAGTAAGCAAGACCTTGAAAAAACCATCAAGAAAACAAAAGCATAAATTACTCAACTACCAGAGGACAGAATTCTAACCATTGACAGATTGAAATCCAAGGGCTGGGTCTTTGTTAATGGCTGCTACTGTTGTCTTTTGGCGGAGGAAACGTGCAACCATCTGTTATTGTGGTGTCCAACAACCTATAGTTTATGGTGTATGATTTACAGACTTCTTGGGATTGATTGGGTGATTGTGGGTTCGGTTAGGGAGGAAGTTTGGGCTTGGGAGGGTCTATATGTAAAAAGAAACTTTGTTAACATTATCCCATTAATTGTTTTCTGGGTCATTTGGGAAAAAAAAATAGGAGAGTTTTTAATAGTGTTCAGAGTAGCTTAAATAGATTAAAAGATAAGTGGTTACATACTTTTGGATAAGTATTATTAGGCCATGACATTAATAGTAATAGGCATTTTGAGATTTTCATTGACATGCTAACTTCGCTGTAAATATTTTTGTACATGGGCGGTACCCCCAGTTTTTGGTACCATATTGTTACATACATTGTACTTTTTATCTCAAAAAGAAAAAATTACTCAACTACCAGAGGAAGGTAATAGCAATTCTTGCTATAAATGAATATCTACAGAATTTCAATACTACAGCAAGAAGGATGATATAGGACAATGAAAGCTTAAAGACTAAACTTAGAAAAATTTTATTAAGGAATAAGGAGATCTTGGATCTTAATAATCAAAGCAATATGTCAATAATAATCATGAATAGCCTACCTAATAATAAAGTTAGGTACCTTATTTATAAGCACAAAATACATTAATAATAATAAATCTAGAAAACCTAGTAAACAGAAAAATAAATTAAATAGAAAAAACAGAGGAATAGGATAATAATTTTTTTTAATTTTCCTTTATTGTAAAACTCCCCAAAATTTAGACAAATTAAATCATTCTACTCCTTTTAGTTAACTTCCCAAAATGTTTATGTACTTTGATTAGTTTTGTTTCATAGCTCATTATTATTGAAATATGCTCATTTTAAGTGCTTCTTATTCTACATCATTCTTCCCACTTGGTGAAAACTCGACTTTCAGTTTTGAAATTGTGAAGGAGTAAGAATATCAAAGTTGGAACTTGTGTTCTTAACAATTGATGCTTGCTGAACTTGAAATTGTATTGAGAATGTTTCTGAAATCCAGAATTCTGAAGACGTATTGAGAATGTTTCTGAAATCCAGAATTCTGAAGACATAGTGAATCAATTAGGAATGGGAAAATCCATAAAAGAAAGGACAACCAAACTTTTCACGTTACTACTAAAAGCCAAAGAAATATCATCATTTTCAGGTGGAACCTTTTTATTGATAATATCATCATCTTCAACCTCAACAACATCATTGTTTGCAACTAAATCGAAAGATGTATCACTACTTGACTTAGTTTGTGTAATAGAAATTGCAACATCTTTCACAATCTCCTTTGATTATGTTATTTTAACTTGCTATGATTAGTTGGATGATTGATGGTGATTTCTTTGGTTACCTTATTTATTAATTTGCTCTCACAAGTTAGATCATCAATGATAGTGAGATCACCAAGATCTATAGAAAGAGATTAGTCGTGACATTTAGTGGTCACGATATTGTTATCATCAATGATAGTGATATTAGGTTGCTCCATAGAAAGAGATAAGGTGTAACATATAGTGGTTACTATATTCCTATAATCTTACAGGGTAATTCCTGAAGAGTTTATCAACTACATTAAAGATGGTTTAAACTTAGTAGAACAACTTTTAAGAACTCTCGTTATTATCCCATGAGCAATTGGTGAAATTGTTCCTTATCTATTTTTTGAACACCGTGTAGGAGTGGAAATAGCGATGCCATTGAGATACTATCACTTTCTTGTAAAAACATGAGCATGATCTTTTCCACTTATGGGAGAACCTTTCTTTCCATTGCGATTGGATATACTTGAGGAAGCGCTTGAACATTTCTATGATTAGTTCTTCACAATCAAGGTTCAACATCAACAGATATATCTTAGTTCTTGTAAGTGTTTCAGAAATTAAGATCTCACTAATGTGTGAGATCTCACTAATATGTGATTGCCTTTTCAAGTCACTTAATAATTTAAATGTAGAAACAATTAGTTTAAAACTCTTTTCATTTGTGTATCTTGATTAGGAATATTTGGTGCAATTAGTCTAGTTAACTCACATATGCAGTAAGCAACTTCAAGTTTGTAGTTATATTAGAGTGCTTAAGAAGTTGATTACCCACTAATGCCTTTAACAATGGAAAAGGGCATCTCGTGTTGACTTAGATGGTTCTTGATATACCTTTAAGAGACAATACTTAATTTGATCCAAAAGTTGAAGAAGCTCATTAGTTGAATGACAAGGGTTAGTGAGCATATAACCAATGTCCATGGCCATCTTTCAAGCCTTTTTTTGCATGATGCCATAAAGCTACTACCATTGTATTCATTTTCTTTTCCATCAATTTGATTTAGAGATATAACATTCATTTTAAAATTAAATAACTTTTGTTGAATGCATAAGCAAATACTTGGTTTACTTGTTCGACTTATCTACTAGCCAAAAAGAAGTGAGAATATAAATTCGATTGAACTAACCTCAAGAAGCGAAAGATCATGTCCAAAAATGTAGAGAACTAGCCTAAAAATGTTGACAACTGGTTTGGAGGTAGTTGAACCAGATGAGTCGACTGGATATGGTCAAACTAGTTTGAACCGGTCAATAGGGCTCAAAATACTGAAATCCACGCACAAAGGTTAGTGCTAGTCTCAGGTCTCGGCTCGAGTTACTAGTTGCAGCTAGGAAGGACTAGATCTCATGATTGCAATAACAATTCAAGGAGTTTATGGCGAGTGAGGAGGATTTTGGCCACTTTAGAGGCTGAAATGTAGTGGTGGGGCAGGTTGACAGCCTTTGAAGTAAATGGAAAGGGCAGTGTTGGCCACCTCTGGCCAAAAATTGCATTGGCCAACCACTGATATCTTCTCTCTCTATTGTTGTTGGTGACTATTTTAGTATTTTAGGGTTTGTTTTTTTCCTGGGAGGCAGTAAGGTTGTATTTTGTATAGTTGAAATGAGTAAATTACAACACCGGAATGAATCGAATTTTAATTTTGATACCAAAAGATGTAGGATAAAGAGAGTTTAAAGATAAAGTTTAGAAAAATTTTATCAAAAAACAAAGTAGGAGTCTTGGATCTCAATAATCAAAACAATATCTCAATATTTGAAAAGAGGTTATGATGGTAGCCTTAAACTCCCTATGAGGTCTCATGGCACTAGCATTTGGAAAGGAATTATGTCTATTCGCAATGCTTTCATTTCTAACACCATTTGGGAGGTTGGAAAAGGGGACAAAATCAATTTCTAACAAGACTGCTGGATGGAATGAGAATATATGAGAATGGTCAGGGTTTTCGCACATCAATTTCGTTAGCAAAGGTTGAGGTAGATTGGTTGCTTATGGCTTTGGAGAAATTTTACTAGTATAACTGCAAGTTACCATAGGCAAGTCGCTTTACGGGAAAAAACAAAATCCTATGGATATCTTTCAGGAAAAACAGAAGAGGGTTGTATTTGGTTATCTCGGTAGTTTTGGAGAAGAAGACGAGACGCATTTTTATTCTGGGAGGTTATCAGGGTAGAGGAT